CATTGATGCAAATCACACGAGGAGCAAAAACTAGCCTGTCTGGTCCAATCACACAGAAGAGCTACTGCAAGCATCAGAACTGGACCATGGAGTAATGGAAGAAGGTTGTCTGGTCTGATGAATCATGTTTTCTTTAGATCAGGTAGATGGCCTAGTGTGTATGTGTTGTTTACCTGAGGAAGAGATGGCAGCAGGATACACTATGGGAAGAAGGCAAGCCAGTGGAGACATTGTAATGCTCTGGGCAATGTTCTGCTGGGAAAACTTGAGTCCTGGTATTCATGTGGATGTTACTTTGACACATACCTATCTAAAGATTGTTGCAGATCAAGTGCTCCCTGATGGCAGTGGTCTCTTTCAGCAGACACTTAAAAATTGCTCAGGAATGGTTTGAGAAACATGACAAACAGTTCAAATTCCCCAGATCTCAATCTGATTGTACTGGAAAAACAAAACCAATCCATGGAGGGCCTACCACACAACTTCAGGACCTAAAGCATCTGCACCTAATATCTTGGTGCCAGATATCAAAGGACATGTTCAGAGGTCTTGTGGAGTCCATGCCTCGATGTATCAAGGCTGTTTTGTCAACAAGAGAGGTACTATACGATATTAGGCAGGTGGTTTTAATGTTGTGGCTAATCAGTGTACACTCTGAGAGTAAAAAAAAATCCATCTTAATAGTAATCACAACTCTACTTTATTGCAAAAGTTTCTTCTATCAGGTGCAAAAATAGGGGTAATTTTTAACTATGCATTACTCTTAAAGTTTCTAAATATATGCAACAATATCTATGAAATATAATGATGTAAAGAGTTATTAGAAATTATATTTACCAATTTTAAGGCTTTGGTTAAATGTGAGTGGAATTATATAAACATTTAGAGGTAGTGTTCTATTAAAAAGAACAAAAATCTTTTAATCCGCCATCTTGCTTTAACACAGCATATTTTTAATTTATAAATGTTTGAGCAAATAGACTGCTTTCTAGGTGCAATGTCCTCTACTATATTGCAAAACAGGCATGTGCCTCTTTTAGACAGTAACTGCCAAAGCATTTAATCTTTTGCAATGTCTGCATTCATTTAAAATCCCCTAGCTCTTGACTGATGAAGCACAGCCAAAGTAAGAAATTAGATAGAAATTGACTCATGTAAACTGTGTGCTAAGATCGAAAAGCGGAAAACGAATAACCTATAAAATGTGCAATTGTAAACATGATTAATAATAACATAAGATGCAGTTATGTCTCACGAGTGAACTCCTCTATATGTAATAAATTAGACATGTGCAATTTGTTTCGTTCCAAATGTAAATTTGGCAATATTGATACCTTAGAGAGGGTTCAGAGAAGGGCTACTAAACTGGTTCATGGATTGCGGGATAAAACTTACCAGGAAAGGTTAAAGGATCTTAACATGTATAGCTTGGAGGAAAGACGAGACAGGGGGGATATGATAGAAACATTTAAATATATAAAGGGACTCAACACAGTAAAGGAGGAGACTATATTTAAAAGAAGAAAAACTACCACAACAAGAGGACATAGTCTTAAATTAGAGGGACAAAGGTTTAAAAATAATACCAGGAAGTATTACTTTACTGAGAGGGTAGTGGATGCATGGAATAGCCTTCCAGCTGAAGTGGTAGAGGTTAACACAGTAAAGGAGTTTAAGCATGCGTGGGATAGGCATAAGGCTATCCTAACTATAAGACAAGGCTAGGGACTAATAAAAGTATTTAGAAAATTGGGCAGACTAGATGGGCCGAATGGTTCTTATCTGCCGTCACATTCTATGTTTCCATGTTTCTATTCAAGTCACAGTTTCTTTGCCGTAAGCTGCTGTTCCCTCTGTTAGTCCCGCTGGCAGCTTCAGTTGTCGCAGGAATTCCTCCATTTCCTCAGAGGAGGTCAGGGCCAGGTTGGTGTCTCCTTGTGGGGCAATCAGCGAGCCATCTCCTCTCCAGCGCTATCTCAACGAATGCTTCCTGAGCCGACCAGCTATTGGAGCCATAAGGACGGCAAATGGTAGGTCGCTGAATACTGCCACTGTGCAACCTTCAAATTGGAACCTTCCCTTGTCTCTGGAGCAGGCCAGGACACTAGCATGAACCGCGACATCCCTGGTGACTATCGTGTCTCTTGGTGCTCCGGTTGTCGCAGTTGTTGCTTTGCGGATCCGGAATGCGGCTGATATCAGCGTGGGGTCGGTGCCCCCTTGAGACCCATGGAGGCGATCAGCCTCTGAATAAAGGACATCAGCGCCTCTTCCCCTATCCTTTCTGGGATGTTCCTGTGCCTGTGGCTGGACTCTAACGTTGAGACCGCCCTGTTAAGTCTCAGTACTTGTTGGACCAGGTTCTCCACCTGACCCGTGGTAGCCTGCAGCAGTGTGTCCCGGGTTCTATCCCTGGATTCCACTGCCTGGACCTTCTGGCGGAGGACCCCTATCTCCTCCTGTGTCTCTCTCAGGTCGGCCTTCCACACTTTCCGCAGGTTGGCCAGGAGTCTGTTAATATCTCCTTTTGTGGAAGGAGCAGCGTCCTTGTCCGATTCAGCCTCCTGGGAGTCCTCTCACGGTCCCGAGGAGGTGAGTTCTTTCTCTTCTTCGTACGACTCCTCTTCGGCCTCATCCTCCTCCTGAGGTTCAGGCGCCATATTAGGCGGCTCTGGCGGAGCAGGCCTCTCAAAGGAAAGCCTGATATCATGCATTCTAGGGCTCTCTCTGAGTTGGAATTTACGGTGCTTGAGCCCCATATTGTCATCTGTTGGGGGATGACAAGTCTGAGTCCCCTTGAAGCTCAAAAGGTATTAAAATTGTCGAGTATTCGCGTTTCTGGTGCAGAGCTCAATTAGGACACGTCTGTGCTGTTGCTCTGTCGGCCACGCGCCTATTACCCAGTAACTTAATCACATTTGAATGTAGCATTGTGTTTTCATGGTAAAAATCACATGATACCTGGGCGACTTCCAGGTTGGTAGCGCACTTTGAGGAGAGTCTGCTCATTGTTAATTCCCCTATCAAATCTTTTCTATATAAAGGTGATTATGGGGTTATATATTTCATTTAAAAAAAAAAAGCAGAAGTGGCGCCAAAATGTTGATCTTATATGTAACACTTCTCAGATTAAAATAAAGTATTGTTCGGATTACAAAGACATATGAGTGCTTCTATTTTTCATTTCATCTTTCTACATACAGCACTGGGAGGCACCAAGGTGAATACTCTTAAAGTAGAGTGACAGTTTTCTTCTTATTATTTTTTTTATATATATATATATATCAATATTTCTCTCCCCCCTCAGGGTGGTATTTTGTATATTCTATATTCTCAAGTCCTCTACCAGACGCCAGGGAGTCTGAGGGTTCTGCACAATATCTTAGTTGTTCCTAGAATTTCATTCTTCTGGACAGCAATCTATTTACCAGGGCTCCTATTTACCACTGACGTACTAGGTACGTCCGCGGTCCTTAACGTCCGTGGTCGTTAAGGGGATATATGTATTTATAATGTCATTCTAAATGTATTTTGATTTAAAAATATATGAATATTAATATCAAAATACAGTTACAACTAATTTAAACCAGTATATAAAACTTTAAATTTTTTAAATTTAATTTAAAAAATTTTTTTTACATTTATTTATTATTTTATATATATATATATATATATATATATATATATATATATATACATTTGTAAATATATATATATATATATATATATATTTAACATCATTCTAAGTGTATTTTAATATATATATATATAGAATTATATGTATATTAATATTAAAATACACTTAGAATAATGGATTGTGTATGTGTATATAAAAGTACTTAGATCTTAGATCTAAGTACTTTTATATACACATACACAATCCATTATTCTAAGTGTATTTTAATATTAATATACATATAATTCTATATATATATATATATATATATATATATATATATATATATATTAAAATACACTTAGAATTATGTTTATATATATATATATAAATGAAACCAAGAAGGCTGCACTCACCTGAACATGCATACAATATAGGGTGCTGCTGGGGCCAAAACATACAAAATACAAAATACAGCACACTCGCTTATTCACTAAACAATGATTTCAAATCTTAGAGATTGTAATATTTTTATTTAAAAACACCTCACCTAAGCAAAAAAATAAGGGGGTTTAGTTACATTATATGATCATATATTGCATAAGCCTGGCACAACGTCAATGTACCCCATTCTTGGCAGGTCCTACTCTAACAGCCTAATGCTTGCTCTTATGAGATTAATCCACTTACTTGGAAAATACTTCCTTACTGGGACTCCCTGCAAGTCAAATCCAGCGTACCCGCTGTTTCACTAAACAATGATTTCAAATCTTAGAGATTGTAATAGTTTTATTTAAAAACACCTCACCTAGGCAAATGTGCCTCATTCCAGGACCCTATTTAGCCTTGACTTGCAGGGCTTGCCCTCCCCTTATCTTCCTATAAAAGTTTAAAACGCACCTTACTTCCAGCGCTGCGCGGGTCAGAAATTAATGCATCTCTATGAGGAAAATCCAGCGTCTCCATGCAGAGCGTAGGGTTGCTGAACGGCAGGGCTGATTACTGTGCAGCCCTGAGCCAGTGGCCATCTAAGGAGTGACCACTTGGAGGTGTCCCTAGCGGAAAGGTAAACACTGCCTTTTCTCTGAAAAGGCAGTGTTTACATGAAAATGCCTGAAGAGAGCTATTATAATCACCAGAACAACTACATTAAGCTCTAGTTGTTCTGGTGACTATAGTGTCCCTTTAAGCCAGAAGACAGAACTGTATTAAATAGTACTTAATATTGAGGAAGAGTCTCTGATAGTCTGTCCATTAACAGAACTGTACAAACAACATAAGAGTATCCATTGAGACTAGTGGAAAGAAGAGTTAATCTACAACAGTATATATATGTTGCTTTTATTTTTTTTAGAAAATACAGTAAATACAAAAATAATAGTACGTTTTATTGTAAGAAATTCAAAAGCCATTTTCAAGTTACAAAGAGATTTGCTCTTCATTTTGCAGCAAATTAGGAATCATCAGCAACGACAAACTATGCATTAACAATAATTAATAAGTTACTAGGATGTATCTCAGTGGTTTCCAAACCAGTCCTCATGGCACACTTTCCAGTCCAGGATTTAGGGATTACCCAGTTGTGTCTAAGGTGTATGTAACTTTAAATTGAGTTGAAGTGCCATAAAGTGACCTTGAATCTAGTCCGTATTCATGACAGTTACTGAAAGTAAGTGTGCCAGCAGCAACTAGGGATTTTTATACACATCGACCTACGTGGTACTCAAAATAGATTTTAAATTAGTTTTGAATGTTTCGTAAAAATAGTTTAGTGCTCAGCAAAGTTAGTCTAAGCTAATTGTAATTCCTAACTCAGTTCCAAAATTCACCTGCCAGAAGCTCGCTGGTCCTTCTGAAGCTGCCAAGACTTTTACCTATTTTCAAGACTTCAAGCTTAAAAAAAAACAAAAAACAGACAGATGATCTGAAATATTGAAGGTTAGTGACTGAAGTGTTTGCTAGTTGTCAGGAAATTAAAGTAAATGTAAAGTATATTTCAAATTCCCAAAAGAAGTGATAAAGTTAAAGGGGTAGTGTGTGTCTCCTGGACTACTTATACAACAAGCGCACCCAAGACATGCCACAAAGACAGCTGGAAAGGTAGTGGCTTTGTCCGTACATTATCAAGGGAGATTATTGTGCTTATAGAGATAGAGAATGAACAGCCTTGACAGATTGAGCAGACAAAGTAGAATGACTTTTGGTAGATTGGGAGGATTGTGCAAGATTTTAGCAAGGAACTGATTGGACCTATAGGGCCCTAGAAAGATCTGGCCCTGAACTGATCTTAGTATTATAGAAACTGCTTTTACTGTTTCATGGTGAATGTTTTCATGTTTAGTAGTGTCCTGGTATATGGGACTTTATCAAAATCAGCAATGGGGACTAACTTTACAAATTTGTCTTGCACTTATTTTAAAGTGTGAGAACATGTTCATATTTGGAATTGGCAGTATCTGCAATTCCTCTGTAGAACTGTTTTTTTAAGGTTTCCTGAAGAGCAGTCTAAGCACCATCACTACTGCATGCCATTATAGTTGGATTTTTTTTTTATCCTCAATCCAATGTTTCTGTCATCTTTCTTATAGCTGTTTTCTATCTTTTTTGATATTATTTTGCAAAAAATTATCCAATATGAATGAAGATTGACAGGAGGAATACCAGGAGAAGTAAGATATACGGCATATTCTGAACATATCCTGTTCCTACGTACTTATTGACTCTTAATAGGGAACACATGGGAGGGGTGGCAGCATTGCAAGATGGATGTGTGATACAAAAGTGAATACAGGGGGCGGGGCCGGGCCGCCGAGCCGACTGGACGCCATATGCATGGGCTCCAGCTCTAGGCTCGTGAGAAGGGCTCAAAAAGCCGACTTTGACCGCTGCAATGCTGGAGCCGTCGCTACCGCTGCATGGACGGGGTTACCAGCTTCAGCCCGATACCACGCAGGAAGCACAACACGCACCGGGTGAGCAGAAACGTCCACCCTCGGCCCACAAGCCGGACCTCGTGCACCCGCGATGTGCAGCCAGACACCGCAGAGAGGCACTCTACGGGGACAGGAGAAGCCGCATAAACTAAACCTCTGGTCGTGAGGTGATACCCCGGCTCGGGGCACGGCCCCGCTCCCCCCCCCCGAGCCGGTGGGGGTTATCCCGGCATCATGGCGGCGCGCATGGCGGCGGGTGCTCCCGCGCTCGGCCTATGCCGCCCGCCTACACTAGCAATGGCTGCAAGAAAAAGCAGCCGGCTAGCAGATATGGACACTGCCAGGAACGCACCCAAATAAAGAAGGAAGGAATGCATGCAACCATTTAATGGGGCACTACAGCCCACACAAAGCCCCAATTTGGAAAGCTGCCGAGGAGGATTCTACCTAAAAATACTACTGCCGTTAATCTGGTAGGAGAAAGACCACCTGCATTCATATGGAACTGCTCCAACACAGCTCCACACACCCAGAGGACCACGGTAAAATTTAATAAAGGGGACCGGCAAGGACGGCTCATGCAGGCCCAGGCGATACTGAGCGCTAGGCGGGGCCTACACATCGCCCACACGCCGACCGGAGCAGTGAGTACCCCAGTCTCTGGGTATGGGGGTCCCCGGAGAACCATGCCCCAGATGCCGTGAGCCCTGTGGGGCGGGAGTGCGCTGCCCTGCCGGCGGACCGGTGGCCGGGGGGGCTGGGTACCAGCCTTAAGAGTGAGGCCGGCACTGGGAGGGACACGGGAGTGCTTGCTCCATAGGGAACAACGAGGTGCTGGGGAGGTGCAGGGGGCGGGAGAGTCATGGACTTTGGTGGTGGGGTCCAGTGGATAATCTCTGCTCCTGAGTGCCCACGGCGCCGAGGAGGACCCGGCCGGTGGGCGGGGGCGAGGTGGGGTGAACGGACGGCGGCTCGGGAACCTGAGGACTGCACCGTAGCTGAGACATGCTGAGCCTCCCTCGGACTGCCACACAGCCTCCTCTCAAGTTCCAGCCAACCTTGCCTCTATATTGTTACGGTCCTTATTACTGATGTTGTTTGCCTATATACTTTATTACATATAATGCATGACCAGCTACAGTTTATATTAGATTGACGCATTATAGGAGGTTACTAAATCCATTTGGTTTCTCCTATACAGAGCTCCTGCTTCAGATGCTCCGATAATTATTAGGGCCCTTAGTATTTTAATTAACTAATTTTTTCTGTTAAGTATACGCCGGTTCAAGTTTGACGCACACATTAGCCCTATGCAGACTGGAACCATAAAGTACCGCACATCAATGCCCCAGCGCAAATCGTACACCTACATACTTAGACTATATCTTACTACACATATTAGTATCCAGTGCACTGGCCGCAGATTAACTTAAAATTACTGCACTACTGAGATACTGCGACATAATGCGCTAGGTTCCCTGATGGTGCAACGCTCTAAGAGTCTAAGAAAGCTGTAATAACAAGGCTTATCTATACATTGTGACGGCAGCAGGCTTACTTGAATGCTAACCCTTCACGCACATTACCCTCAAAACATCGCGCCTTAATACCCATTACCTACAGCACATCCCTGAAATCTGTTAGAACCAAACTATAGCATATCATATGCTACATTAAATTCAATGCCTGTAGCACGTTCACAGGGTCGCATATACTGGCAAATAGAATCACAGGATCATTAAGCCCCGCTAACACCAACAGCTACGAGGCGCAAGGCCCGCGTATAGCCAAGTTACTTGCTGACACATGTAGACACCAGATTACATATAGGCTTCATATGATGATGGTGTTATATAGAGTTATAAGACTTAGCCTGGTACAGTCATAAATGTAATTACAGAAGGTTAATGCCTGCTGATAATAATTCTGATGAAAATAATAAGCCTCTGCGTAGGCAACTGTAAGCTTCTCATCATTGTCGAACTGTGCCTGACTTGTTTTATGCTTAAAATAAAAAGATTTAAAACAAAAGTGAATACAAAATACACAAAAATAAGTCCAGTGTAAGTGTTGTTTTGATTTCACTGTGTGCACTAGTAGAATTGCACTTTATTTAATGCAACTGTATTTTCTTTTGCACAAACAATTGGCACTGTATGCAGAATTTGTAGTTTTTTTTTGTATACTGCACTTATATGATTTGCAATTATAAGAGTTTTGAGTGATTTGTCACGTTTTAGAAAAAGTCACAGCATACCTTTTTTCGTTTTATTTGAATTTAGTTAGAGGGTACTTTTATGAACTATTACACTTTATTTGATTGTATAAAATTGTATTTTTAAATTTTATAGGATATTGGTCAGCACCTATTTCACATGTTCTCTAGTTTAGGTACTAACCACTGCATATCCTACAAGACTTGTCTGTTTGAAGTTGTCTAGGTCATCACTATTTGGATCTTGTCAAAGTCACATAGCTTTTCTTTGCCCATTTTTCCTGATTTACTTTTTTTTCCTGATTGTTCACTTACTGCCTTATATACCCCATCCCTTAACTGGTGCCATTGTTTTAATATAATGTTATTCACTTCACCTGTCAGTGGTTTTAATATTGTGGCTGATCAGTGTATATTTATGTTGCTGGTAATATGTAATCAAGTTTTGAAAAGTTTAAAAAAGTTTAATGATCATTAAGTGCCACTAGATGGTGCTGTTGCAGAGGATTAAAGCTACAATCAGAAATCATTTAGTTTATGTAGCACAGATTTATTATTACTTATTTTAACATTTGTAATACACATTTCTTCATAAATTCAGCGCTGGTGGATTATCTTATTAATATTTATTTTGTTAAGAGTTTTACACTTTTCTTCTCTGTGAAAACCACACCTTGCCAGTTTAACTGAGGGCTATTCATTTAAATATGTTTTCATGGCACTACTTGTGATAATGCGGTAGTATTATTGTGACCTTGTGCTAACCTCCAGTTATATATTTATCACCAAGTTTATCACCAATCAGATATTCACAAAGGTCTTGGAGCCCACTTTTTTAAAGGCCGCTGAAATAATCAAATTGGAAGAAAAATCTTGATCAGCTAGTTGATAGATAAATTAGATAGATAGATACATAGATAGATACATAGATAATCTGACATTAGTGTGGGAGCATATGGAGGTTTGACATTGCGCTAACGGCAAGGCTATTAAAGGAAAACGCCAAACCCCTAAGGCATTTTAGCTTGCTTGAAGTGCTTTTGCAGTTAACCGAGTGTTCTTGCTTTTACACTTCATAAAAGTGGTTATTTCAAGAGAAGTGGTGATTTTCTGTACTTCTATGTGAAATGCATTGCAGGCACAATGTGGCAATTTCCGTACATATACCCTGCTTCCCGTTACCTCTCTATGAATAGCAGTGAAGATCTTCAGGGGGCAAAGCAGAGCTGTGGCAAGTGAAGGAGTGGATTGGAATGATGCATTTTGTATTGAGTGAAGGTACTGATACAGTGAAAAGGGCAAAGTAATGGATGTTTACATATCATTGAAATATAAGTTGATTATGGTGTATGGGATCTTGTTATGACATAATTACATGGCATTTAAGATTTTGGCTTTGCCCCTGGCTGAAAAATATCTGTGAATGACCCTTTATACATGCCTTCCAGAATGTATTACTGCTTGGAGATGCATAACATTTTTTTTATTTTTTTACCATAGTAATATAGACTGAAAAAAAAGTCCATCAAATTCACATGTCCATATTACTGCTGTTGATACAGAAGAAGGTGAAAAAAGACTGTTTCAGAGGATTTCCACTTTTGCTTTCCCAAAATTGAGAAAACCTCCTCCTTGACTCCAAAGTGGCAGTCAAACATCTACTTGGATTAACAAGTTGTTACCCCACATGTTATTATATCCTTGAATATATTGCTTTTCAAAAAAATATCACCCTGACGATTTTTACAAATCTGCACAGAATCTATAAAAACAACCTCTTTAGACAGAAAATTCATCATCTTTATTTTTCTTACTGTAAAGAACTGTCTGCCATAGGTAAAATCTCCTTTCTTCAAGTTTACATGAGTGACATCTTAACCATTGTGTTTTCCAATTAATTAATTTTCTTGGTTTATAATTAATATCCATACAAATAAACACAATGATTTTTTTTATTTTATTCTCTTATTTTATTATACTAGACAACAGAAATTATTATTTAATTTATTTTCAGAAGTATATATGTGTTTCAATCTCAAAACGGACATAACAGCTGAACTGACATCGTAGAACCCAATAAAGCAGCAGTACATATAGTAAAAAATAAAATAAAACAATAATCAATAGAACAATAGAACAAGTACACATCTAAAGATATTTTAACAATTTTGTTGATTCAAGTAGTTCTCCATGTTTCAATCCTTTCTTGAAAACTAGTTATTTTGTCAACGTGTGTGGAATTAGTGATAATACTGTCACTTAAATACAATTGTGACTATGGGTACCAGAAAGTGGGATCTACCACGTGTTCGTTTGGCAAATCATAGTATTTCTCATAAGTGGTCCAGAATGTTTTTTGTGCTACAAGAGGAATTTGTGGAACAAGAGACCCTCACATCTACACAGACCTCTCTGTCTAATTCATCTTTTGTTCTGATACCTTAAAACCACAATTAAATGAAAATTAGCTGCACAAACCTATTTCTCAAAAAATGGATTAAAGTGGACAAAAATTAGAAAATAGACTAAAGGAAGATGAAGAAAATACAGTGGCATAGAGAATACATTAAAAAGAAAATCTGAAGACAAGACAAAAGGTGTAAAAATGGAGCAGCCTCTGTATGGCTGGAGGATATTCCTTTGTACCTCATGTGATACTGAAAATAAATTACACCAAACTCATTAATTAACAAACCACTATAGGGCATGGGGCACTTTGGTTGGAACTTATATTCTCCAAAACCACATGCAGATATCTCCTCTTTTGTTTTCTATTTCTTCTCTTTTTAATGTGGCACTTTTCCTTAGCACTACTTGTTGTTTTGTTCCTGATCATTGAACATTTTTTCAGTCCTTTTTTTGCTATGTGATCATGTGTACTTTGTCCGATCTTTAAAAAAAACAAAAAAAAAAACACAAAAACAGAGAGCAGAGAAAGAGAAATGACGAAACGGAGAGATTAGAACACATGCACATAACTAGCAATTGAGATTCAGAAATCGGGAAGAATGAGTGTCACACTACAGGAGAGAGGACAGATGCTGGTAAAGAAAGACATCTACAAATGACAGGGTTATTCAATAAATTGTAAATTCAAAAAAGAATTGAAAGTACATTTCAAATGTTAAACCAAAGAAGCATAGCTGACTATTTTGGCCTTAAAGTTTAAATTCACTTTGAATTCTCACTTTAATAAATGACCCTGTGACAGTATTTAAGTCTGAAAAAATTATAAGGAGAAAAATAAAAAATATTGAGTTGTCAGAAGTAAAAGAGAATAAGGAAAGTGAAAAGTTTTGAGAGACGACTGGCCCCATGGTTTCTGCAACCCTAAGCAATCAGTGACTTCTCCTCCACCCTGATTTTGCTTTGCTATGCAATCATCATTCGATTTAAGAAAAAACATAAAGTTGAATTATCAGTGACAACAACATCTTCCAGTTTTAACAGTAAGCATACTTTCTAAAATGAGCTTATCTTACCAATTCTAGCACCTCTTATTCTCTATTCCAATGAAAACCTACAAACCAATCCATCCAACTTGTTCCTCAAGATGTTGTTAATCTCTATCTCTTACTTTGCTGGGTGAATCTAATTTAAACAACATTTTATGGCTTTTCTTTGTTTGTCTGTGAGTTCTCCAATAAATACTGAATTAATAATAAGCCCCAATACCAAAGTTAGAGGAACATACAGAGCCGATGGATATCCATTAAATTTTGTTGCAAATTAAATAAAAGAGGATAATAATTATGTTGAAAAAAAGCAGCCGTATCCCAGACTTACATCTTTGAATAACCCTGAGCTCACCGTTTATAGCTTCACAAATTGACCTTTCTCGAACTATGATTCATGATGATACATAATACATTTCCATGTAGGTAGGGACCAGCATTCTACTTAAGTTAAGTTCTTGGCCCCTCACATTAAAATCATTTTAAAGTGCAGCATATTTTAATGGTATTGATGATTGATCACATTTATTGCACATTAATTCATGACATGACCAATTACCTGCATATACCTTGGTGACCCAGTATATTGTCCATTAGTGCTTCATTAAGAAAGCTGATTTATGTGATAGCAATTAAGGGGTCAGATGATAATTCCCCGTTACTTTTATGTTCGAGAGTGACAGCTGAGAACAAAGATCTGTAAGTAAGCCTTTAACATAAAGGCTCATATATTAAGATTTTCATACACGTAATATTGCAGAAAATGAGTGGTAGCATTTTTCGCTTGAAAGTAATTACAGTGTGCAGCATTCAAATAGACACATGATAAGCTGAGTTGTGAATAGTAAATAGTTGTAAACACAGTCTCCGTGGTGCCCATTTGATGTCAGAAGGCTGCTTAGTCCTTAAAGGAAATTTCAGAGTCTCTTAGGCCATGTTAGTAAGTTCATGTTTCTCACAATTATCTGGTTCCAGGTGAAGTTGTAATTTGTCCTCATCTGTTTTATGATGAGCCTCAATACATAGGATGTAGATAAAAGCTCCAAGTGGACCTCCAATCATCGGTCCGATTACAGGAACCCACCACCAGTTATTCCCAGCACTGTGAAAAAAAAACAAAAAAAACCATATAAACGAGAATTGCTCATATTAAAGTATAATCTATACATTCAACTAGGATGCCGATGGCGTATATACAGAATAAAACCCAGGTTGACCAAGATAGCCCAAAATATGTAAATTCTTACACAAAATCTAAAACACCTTAGGTAAATAAATACAATGAGGTTTATTCACTGTTCTTAAGCTGCTGCATGTTGAGAACTGACTTGCCAATTTTAGAGCAAAACAGCAATGCTTGGTTCAGAAAAAAACTGATGCAAACTGTACCTCTTACAGCCTCCAACATCTTTAATTAATTCCATAATAAAGCAGAACATGTATCACATTTCTGAGATATCTACATAATGTATTTAAATTTAGTCACCCTACAAAAATATTTAAAAATATAGTCTAACCTTCGTCTAAGAATCAACTCAGGCTTTCTTATGGTAACAACATATTTGTGGCTGTGTCAGAGGACACAAAGAGCCATCTTTAGATACTTATCCTCATTTCCTTCCTAGGTAGACATAACACTTGTGCACTGTGGGAAAGTTCGGTTAGTCCAAATAGATTTGTCTGAAATTATTTTGCCACAGGCGATTTTGATTTAGTTCCTAGGGCGTTTATTTCTATTCAGACAAATTTCGCCCATGCAAATCGTTTCAGGAAAAACTGTTTAGATAAACCAAAATGGATTTTACTATTCCTCCTGTTTTCCTTCTATGGCAAAAAAAATTAAATAAAAAATGCACCTATTAGTATATTGCAATATACTGTATAAACATATTATAAATATTATGTATATATTAACAGTACACTGATAGGCACATTTTCCCACAATTTGGTTTACAGATCAAGTGAGATATAACTAATAAAGAGGGAAAAAAGGAGGAGCGGTAAAACATTTTTCTTTCTTTTTAAATCATAATAAATAAATATAGATTTTTTTTCACAGATCCTCCTATTTATTCCCTCTATAAGTCACTTCTCACTTAAACTGTGAATAAACAACAACAACATTTTATCGCTGTCTCCTTGTCAACCATCATGTTTTTGTTGACAACTCTGAAACACAAGACAAACGAAACAGCTATTTTGTCCATATGGTGATTTAGAGTAACAGAATTTAAACAAATCACAATTTGTTCTAAATTGAATTTAGTCTAGTAAACAATCTAATTATGTTTAAATAGGGACGTACATTTCAGTTATGTTTGTTGTTCAAGCAGAGATCAAAAGTTATATCTAGATACTTTTTTTTCATCTTCTAGGTCGATCAAACTAACACAAACATATTTTCATGTTCGGCTTCTGTAGAAAATACTTTCTGACCTCAAAATAAGTTGCTTTTCTTATATGTTTCATAAATCCTAAATGTTGCAAATTACTGTAAAGTAGTCCCTTACATTTTTCTTCGATATGATTTCACTTGTGGTGGACCATACAATGGGATGACTTAACTAAGAAATAACTTGTGGTGATATAAAAACAGAGCTGCCAAATGTCAACCAAAAGTTGGAAAGTTATCTACATTGGAGAAAATATAAAATATGTAATAATTTGTAAAACGTACGTGAATACATCGACACCCCATCCAGCCAAAGCAGTGAAGATCCTTGGACCTAAATCTCTAGCTGGGTTCATTGCACATCCAGAGTTCAGGCTCAAGGAAAATCCCAATAGAAGAATGAGGAGCCCCACAGCAACTGGTTCCAATCCCTTTGGGGTTCCAATATTTTTATTGTCAAATATAGCAAAGACCACGATGAGCAAAATTGCTGTAGATATCACCTAGAAGAAAATAGAGTTTTTAGTGTTCTGGAAGTAACTAAAACATAGACGATATCCTCAATATATGGAATGTTATCAGATAACCCTGGCATCTCTTTGTTAGGTTTTTCCTGTCTGATTCAAAATTGTTTTCCAAAGTGTTCCTAAATTCTGTTTAAGGGGTATTTTGTTTGTTTCTATCTTTGTTAGCATTTTATATAAAATCTGTGAAATAATATCTGAGAAATACCAGTAATATATGTTAATAATGATGACTGTAACAACAACACCGAATGAAGAGACAACGCAAGTAAGATAGTACCACAAATACCGTCTAGTGCCCAAACAACTATTATTACCACAAAAAGAGATTGCACACTATAACCACCTATAAGAAATATATAAATGCTTTTATTCAACCCAAAAAAGTTATACATTCAAGAAACAAAACAACAAAGTGACAATAAATAGGAAAATAAGTAAACAATAATAGTTACCAAAATTTCACAAGCCTACTATGACAGAAACACAAGCCACCAATAACCCAAACGTTTGGGGTATTGGTGGCTCGTGTTTCTGTCATAGTAGGCACACTCTGACAACGTTGGGGGTATTGCTGGCTCGTGTTTCTGTCATAGTAGGCACAATCTGACAACATTGGGGGTATTGCTGGCTCGTGTTTCTGTCATAGTAGGCACACTCTGACAAGGTTGGGGGTATTGCTGGCTCGTGTTTCTGTCATAGTAGGCACACTCTGACAACGTTGGGGGTATTGCTGGCTCATGTTTCTGTCATAGTGGCACACTATGACAACGTTGGGGGTATTGGTGGCCTGTGTTTCTGTCATAGTAGGCACACTATGACAACGTTGGGGGTATTGCTGGCTCGTGTTTCTGTCATAGTAGGCACACTATGACTACGTTGGGGGTATTGCTGGCTCGTGTTTCTGTCATAGTAGGCACACTATGACAACGCTGGGGGTATTGGTGGCTCGTGTTTCTGTCATAGTAGGCACACTATGACAACGTTGGGGGTATTGCTGGCTCGTGTTTCTGTCATAGTAGGCACACTATGACAACGTTGGGGGTATTGGTGGCCTGTGTTTCTGTCATAGTAGGCACACAATGACAACGTTGGGGGTATTGGTGGCCTGTGTTTCTGTCATAGTAGGCACACTATGACAACGTTGGGGGTATTGCTGGCTTGTGTTTCTGTCATAGTAGGCACACTATGACAATGTTGGGGGTATTGGTGGCCTGTGTTTCTGTCATAGTAGGCACACTATGACAACGTTGGGGGTATTGCTGGCTCGTGTTTCTGTCATAGTAGGCACACTATGCGTTGGGGGTATTGGTGGCCTGTGTTTCTGTCATAGTAGGCACACTCTGACAACGTTGGGGGTATTGCTGGCTCGTGTTTCTGTCATAGTAGGCACACTACGACAACGTTGGGGGTATTGCTGGCTCGTGTTTCTGTCATAGTAGGTACACTCTGACAACGTTGGGGGTATTGGTGGCCTGTGTTTCTGTCATAGTAGGCACACTATGACAACGTTGGGGGTATTGGTGGCCTGTGTTTCTGTCATAGTAGGCACACTATGACAACGTTGGGGGTATTGCTGGCTCGTGTTTCTGTCATAGTAGGCACACTATGACAACGTTGGGGGTATTGCTGGCTCGTGTTTCTGTCATAGTAGGCACACTCTGACAACGTTGGGGGTATTGCTGGCTCGTGTTTCTGTCATAGTAGGCACACTACGACAACGTTGGGGGTATTGCTGGCTCGTGTTTCTGTCATAGTAGGCACACTCTGACAACGTTGGGGGTATTGGTGGCCTGTGTTTCTGTCATAGTAGGCACACTATGACAACGTTGGGGGTATTGGTGGCCTGTGTTTCTGTCATAGTAGGCACACTATGACAACGTTGGGGGTATTGGTGGCCTGTGTTTCTGTCATAGTAGGCACACTATGACAACGTTGGGGGTATTGCTGGCTCATGTTTCTGTCATAGTAGGCACACTATGACAACGTTGGGGGTATTGGTGGCTCGTGTTTCTGTCATAGTAGGCACACTATGACAATGTTGGGGGTATTGGTGGCCTGTGTTTCTGTCATGGTAGGCACACTCTGACAACGTTGGGGGTATTGCTGGCTCGTGTTTCTGTCATAGTAGGCACGCTATGACAATGATGGGGGTATTGGTGGCTTGTGTTTCTGTGTTTCTGTCATAGTAGGCACACTATGACAATGATGGGGGTATTGGTGGCTTGTGTTTCTGTGTTTCTGTCATAGTAGGCACACTCTGACAACGTTTGGGGTATTGGTGGCCTGTGTTTCTGTCATAGTAGGCACACTATGACAACATTGGGGGTATTGGTGGCCTGTGTTTCTGTCATAGTAGGCACACTATGACAACGTTGGGGGTATTGGTGGCCTGTGTTTCTGTCATAGTAGGCACACTATGACAACGTTGGGGGTATTGCTGGCTCGTGTTTCTGTCATAGTAGGCACACTATGACAATGTTGGGGGTATTGGTGGCCTGTGTTTCTGTCATAGTAGGCACACTATGACAACGTTGGGGGTATTGCTGGCTCGTGTTTCTGTCATAGTAGGCACACTATGACAACGTTGGGGTTATTGGTGGCTCGTGTTTCTGTCATAGTAGGCTTGTGAAATTTTGGTAACTATTATTGTTTACTTATTTGCCTATTTATTGTCACTTTGTTGTTTTGTTTCTTGTATGTATACCTTTTTTGGTTGAATAAAAGCATTTATATATTTCTTATAGGTGGTTATAGTGTGCAATCTCTTTTTGTAATAATGATGACTGTAACATAAATGATTTTCATATGTACTAAGCCCTTCCTAAAGATAATATCCATCCGTAGAGATGGTAAAAATTTAACCAGACTAATAGCCAACAAACCCAGCTCAAGGCATATAATGTTTTTTTTGCTTACAGCGGAGGAACGGGTTCAGTAAGAACAATAAGATTTGGAATTCTTTACCTAAAGTCTACATATAGACTACACGGGCAGAACCACGACATTAAGCTGAAGTTATCCTGGTGCTTAGATTGTACCTTTAAAAGATGATGTAGTTATTTTTCAAACCATACCATCATGCCACCTTTGTCTACCCTATCCTGCCGCCTTTTCACTGCTTTTGTACTATATTCAATCCCCATGCTATCTTATAAAATATCTAAATAATATCTTAATTTGTATTTTCTACATATTTGTTCCAATTTAGATTTGCACCAGCTGTGCAAACCATTTCCTTGTTAGTATATTTTCTGTAACATTATTGCTCACTTACTTGATCTGCCAGTCCATTCATAGTTGAAAGATATGGCGATGGATAGGTAGCAAAAATGTGTGCTGTAGCATTTGGTCCATTAACTGTGAGTACTCCACCTGTATATGCTTTCAGTGCATCTGCAAAAAAAAAAAAAATTCAAAAGAAAAAAAAAAAGTTAGTATTCTTGTTTTTTTTGTCTGTACACAGCGAATTTTACATCCTAAACAGCATTCAGTTTGTATCCACACGAAGCGAAGTAGATGAACAATGACGACAAGTAGAATTTTGATGATTTATCCACAACTGTAAAAGATTAACCCTTCCAATTTTGTAACATTGCAAATTATTATTAGCCCTTAAAGCCAAACTTACACCCTTACTCCCCTTCACACCAGTACTGTTTCTTACTCTGCAGAGAAACACATTTATCAGCTACTAAGCCATTCTGTCACTCTGCATATCTGCAGAGGGACTATACATGGCTGCACCATCCTGCAAAAGGGGAGTGCACACGTCATGTAATTGCATTTAATGTTACAAAAAACATCTATGCATCATATGTAATATAAATTTCATTATTACGTCTGCTTTATAAGTTTACATTTTTTTCCATAAAGATAAGAAGGCAAGAATAAGACATATAATAAAATAAACAATATAACCAAATATGGCAATAACACCAAATCTCAGAATACTGTTTTTTTTTTGTTTTTTTTGTTGTTTTTTTTTACACCAGTCATTGGGAGAAAATAAACATGGAGGTGCAGTTGAGGGGTTTGGATGAGGAATACGGGGAAGTATGTGGCTGTGGCAGATCAACACAGGTTGCTAAAGTCACGAGTGAGACCAGGCCCTCTGTGTTCCGCTTATCTCAGGGGGCCCATAAACTGGCTGTCTGGCCATTGGCACACATGGTCTATTGCCAGAGATCGAGTGACAAGTGGTCCTCTTGCTCCCGGTCACTGTGCAACTCCCCCAGAAGGCACATGTTGAGGGAGTATGTGATATACTTCTGTCAGTGTCCTGCCAGTGAAGTTAGCATGTTGCACTATGGTCCTGTGAATTTAGTTATGCACCTGATGTGTGGTCAGACACTTGCTCTTAACTCTTAAAAATTAGCTCTTGAAGGTCCACTCAAGTCACCCAGGCCACATCATCTGTATGAAATGGCATGGGTGCAGTGGCCCTGTGAATTTAACCCTTGAAGATAAAACATTCCATTTTGCGGAAATGCTGATTTTTAGCTCGAAGGGTTAAACACAACAGAAGCACCTCTAGTGGTTGTTGCACTGACTGCAGCTGTAACAGCCACTGGATGTTTTTCCCCTGCACTGACTGGGTAAAACTCTGTTGTATGACATGGAAGTCTGCATAGGTAAGCACTGATACAATGCTTATGTAGGGGGAAGCTTGGATGGATGTGTGGTGCTGCCTCACATGCGCATCAGGTCCCCGATGCGGACTCCATGAGGAGAGATAAGCAGCACTAATGCTAATTAAGCCTCGTTGCTTTAAAAATGTGAGTTAAACCCCTTATTTTATTATATTTATGTTATATTAAAATAACAAACATATATCCAACGAAAAAAGAAAAAACAAAAACAAAAGGCTAATAGATGAAGTACTATGACAGGCTGAGGGCTGTTTTTTCCTTTTTCGTTGGATATATGTTTGTTATTGATTAGTTGCACATTTATTTTTTGGGGATTTTAATAAAGCAATAAAAGTTACATTTTAATATATTTACTATTCAGTTTGAGGGACGCCCTAACTGTTGACCTTAGGGGCCTAGTGCTCTCAGGGTCTCCTTTTTTGTTTAAGATGTAAATATAGCCAAAATAGAAAGTCTTCCCAAAACTGAATTATTTGTCCAAATTTAGCAATTTGATTTTCTGTTTGCTACAATTCACTGTTTGGTTAATAAGTGTCGTTGTGTAGGTTACACTTACCATGATAAATGCCAAAAACTACTGCAGATCCTGTTATTGCACCAAGGAACTGTGCACTCACATAAAATGGAAATTTTGCCCAATGTAATCTTCCTGTTAGACACATGGCGAATGATACTGCTGGATTTATATGACCACCTGAGAAGATAGGATCATATACAAGGCAATTAATTACATTTTGAGAAAATTGATTCTTTGTAATGAGTTATTCAAATACAAATTCACAACTTACTTCCATTATATACCAGAGACTGTACATGACATGAACCCATTCCCTCCTCCCCTCCCAATCCCACAATGCTCAGGAACCTTTTAAGCTCACTATTTTGGTGCAGCACATAATGTCAATGTCATGGGTGGGAAGGATGCATGGTACAAACTAATCAATATTTGCAAGCTACAATAGCAAACAGAAATGTAATTTAATATGCAGATGCCTGGTTTGCATTCATCTGCCAGCTAGAGAATCCTCATTCCCAATTAGGTGCAGATTCATTAAAATGTCTGTAAGCAGGATATTTAAGCATGTTATAAATTATCAAACCTTTTGAAAAGTGACATATTTCCTCTTCCACAAATTGACTTACCGAAGGATTGCCAAACAACAATACCATATAACTTGTAGATAAACCTGATTTTATTTTTCCCCTTAACAATAATTATATATTACTTTTCTTTTCTTATTTCCCTTCTCTAACCTCTTAAGGATTAATGACTTTGTGTGATGTTTAAACAAGTCATAGAACATCCCACTCTTTAGATAAAAGACTCTTAGCTAGAAATATGCGGTAACGCAATGGGTACCAGATTTGCACCACGCTATGACAATCTTTTTATGTAATTTTAAGAATGCCTTTTTGTTTTTCAAAACTTTGCTGGGTGACAAATATGGTCTCTTATCGACGGTACATGGAAAGGCACAGAAGAAAGCCTCATTGGAAGAAAAGTTATTAAACGTGATAAAATTGTCAATTAGACATTGACATTTATATTGATGGTGGTTTAATATGCAATACTTGGAGCCAGTATTTTATAGGCTCCTATAAAGATGAGCACACATCTTCACAAAGTCATATACACCACTGTTGCGTGTAATACTGCACCAAATTTGTTCTTTATTTTTTGTTTTCTTTTGCTGCCATTGCTGTAGGAGTATACTATACAGTTGTGCAAGAAGAAGGTAGTGTTGCCACCTTAAAGGCACAGAAGCCCACTTGTTTAGAACCTGTACTCATAAAAGGCTCCCACAAATGTAAGTGTTCATTAATCACCATCTTCTAGAGCACATTCATATCTCTCTCTCTTTCTCTTTGTATATAGTTAATGCAATGTTAGACAAAAATCTACACACCAGTCAAGTCATAAGACTTGCTTTTCCTACAGAAATCACATATCTGCAGTGACGTTACTACCGCAAAGGATTCTGGGTGGGTATATGCAAATTAGTTTAACAAAGAATTACATTTTTGCCTCATTCCATTTTAAACATCGATTCCTTTGAGTCTGTGTTTGCTGTATACAACAGCTTTGAAACACAACTTAGGAAAAGATGCAAAGCCAGTAAATATTTGGATTTTTCTTTATGTTTTATATTATATTGTCTTTTCTTTATATTTCTTTTTATATATATATTATACTTATATTAATTTTTTTTTTTGTCCATTTATTGTACATATACCTATAATACCCCAGTGTATTTTAGGGGGTAGGTTACTTTACTTCTAAACACTTTACTTGTACGTTTTGTATTTATTTTGGTTTATCACCTAAACAATGAGACAGTTATGTAGTATTTTAAAGAAATTTAAGGTTACAGTAAGAGATAAGAGATAAAAATAAAAATATACAGAAAAATGACTAATTCTACTATTAAATTTTTTTTTATGTAGTAATAAGTTAATGTTTTGCAGATTATCATTTTACATATAAATAAAAGGTCTAAGTAAACATTGTGAGCAAATAATTTGAATTCTCAATTTAAATACAATCAAAATACTAAAGGCTTTAAACTACTAAAATAAACTAAAATACATTGTGGTGGATATATGAATTGTAAACTACAAGCCAAACTATCAGGAATCATCTTGCAGTTCACCTAATATTATACAACGTACGTTTCCTATTCAAAGTATGCTACTTCTCATGAAATAAAACATTTCATTCTTTGTTTAGAAGCAATTCTGGCTACATGGTACAGGAGCCAGTAAGGCTAGATAGACAATGCCAGACAATGGACAACACAGTATTGCTTGCTTAGGGGAGACGGTTTTTAGTCAGACACAGGGAGGGGGCAACTATGCTAGTTCCCATTGCAGCAACTAGTCAACTCCAAATGTAAATGAAATTACAGCCATGCACAGCCAAATTTGCTTAATTTTATAAACATAAATACGATTTTTTCGGAGGAAAATATTAGAATTTCTGTGACATTTTGCAAGACAAGAGATATAAGGTTGTAAAAGGGTTACAATATTTGCTCACATAACCAAATTACACCCTTAAAAATGTATGCCAGTATAGCTAACACTATGTTTATATGGCTGTAAATCACAGCTTTCCTTGTATGTAAAGTGTATAATTACATACATAATTTTGCAATAAGTTAACTAAGAAATTACAACGCACATTACAACATTATGTACATGCACTTGCTTGAAAAGAATGTGGCATCCTTCCATGGTGCTTTGCTGAGAGGCACTGAGTTCTGTAGCACGGACTACATTGAATTAATAAATATGCAGTAAATGTTTGGGATAGAAATGGCTTAACCTACTAGAATGCAGCAGTATCCACATTGAAGGGACATAATTGAATGTATTGGCTGTATATGATATAAAGTAATGAGTATTATATAAAATGAAATGAATTAAAACATATTTTTAAATTGGTTAATCTGTTTTTGCCATTTTAAACTGGAAATGTCTCATGTTTTAAAGGGACAGTAAATGCTGGTTTTTCAATCACATAATTTTACCTGACAACTACCTGAGATAACGCCATCGGTATTGGTGCTGAAAGCCAGAATCAATGGACAGTCCCACCAGTTTTGTGTTTCGTTACAATATAAAATATCTCCAATGGTTATCAACACATAATGTCAATTAAATATTTAAATATTTCTGTGATGGACAAACTAGATTATTATTATTATTGTTATTATTATTAATATTATTATACCTTTGGATACACTGTTTCTGTTTTTAGTTCTTTTCTACCTTTCTTTCACCACTCTTTTGGATGGGGTCTCACTGTTAACACTTGCCTGAGTCTGCAGTAGTTTTAGCAACTTTTATAATAAAGATTTTTACATTTACATTTGTAATAAAAAAATGTTTTTTGGCACATTTTTAACCTATTCTACATATAATACATTGAAAAACGCGAGGCACTTTTAAGTGTAAATTGTCTGTTTAAAACAATAAAAAGAAAATGTGACCTTTAAATTTACAGGGAGACAAAATTAGCCTTGATACTCAATCTTTGTTTGCTTTTTGTAAGGTCAGTATTCCACTGAACTGTAAATACAGATAAAGCTGAGCTATAGCACACTTTGTGTTCTAAAATACCAAAACAAAAAAACATGAGGTAAAATTCTTGTGTTACACAGAATTCATTTTTTTTGTCAATGTTCTGACAATGGAACTGCTACTCAACACTATCTTATAAATAAAATAGGAAACGGGCGCTCAATTATTTTAGATTAACAAGGTCTACACTATTAGACAGACAAGCATAAAAGTTCAAATAATAGAAAACAAGATAAGTGCTAAAAGGTAACTATACTAGAACTGTAAGCAGGCAGCAAACCCTGGTAGTAAAGGATACCCTCAGCCCCTTACTGATTAATACAGATCAAGATAATACAAAATATATGTACAGGTTGCGCCAAAATAAAAAGTCCAATAGAATATCAGATGCTTGGAGTATTCTTTACTTGTAACTCGTCCAGGCTTCTGATAATGGCAGGTATATGTAATAAAGAAGGAAGCTAAACGGTTATGGTGCAGAGTATTTAGTACCAAGTGCAGAACAAACAACAAAGAGGTCTATGATGTAGCACTCACATTTAGTAGAGGTGAATGCCTAATAACTTTATTTTATACTAGATATTTTAAGCATTAAAGATATTTGGCATTCACCTAATTTATGTGTCTGACCATTTATTATATATTTATATTTAAGTTTTTTTAGTTTGTTTTAGTTCTTTTTATATGTCTTACTGTTTCTGGCACGTCTATACCATCATTGCCTACCTGTTACCTGTATCCTGGGAAGTACTACCCTACATTATATCCCTGGTGGAGCACTATTTTTTGCCTTTTATATCTTTGTATATATCCATCTATATGCCGAGTGACTGATTCCTAGGACAATATATCTGTCAGTGGGGATTGTACCGCTGCACGCTGTTACACTCAGAGCTGGTTTTATAGCTCTACTAAATGTGAGTGCTACATCATAGACCTCTTTGTTGTTTGTTCTGCACTTGGTACTAGATACTCTGCACCGTTACCAGTTATCTTTCTTCTTTATTACATATACCTGCCACCATCAGATGCCTGGACAATTTACAAGTAAAGAATACTCCAAGTATCTGATATTCAGTTGGACTTTATATTTTGACGCAACCTGTACATATATTTTGTATTATCAAGCATAAATGTTATTCAGCACTGCAAGCCTGCGGCACACTCACAAGGGCTGGATTTCTGCTTACCAGAGCTGAATGTTCACTTTCCAATGGCTAGTGGGTGAGTGGAAACTTTGAGCCCTTTTCCAGTACTTTAAATGTCAATACTCAAGCTCCTATTGGATAATTATTATTTATTTCTGCCAACATTATAAGACATAATTGTGGTGAGTAAACTGCCAGTATCTAAATGAGCATTTAATAACCGTAGCAAAATCTAAGCTACAGGGCTATAGAAAGGATATACTGAAATAATGGTAATAGTGATAATATGTTATATCACCATAGAGGTAAAAGACGTATATTATAATGAAGAATTGTATTATATTAAAATACTGACATAGAAAAATAAAAAATAAACTGACAGATTGTTGATAATTATATCAGTATGTTTTACACCTCATCAGCTTGGTATAATGCTGAAAAAAAACAAGTTACCAACTGCTAACACACAATATATCATATAGGAAATATAAAAAATAAGTTTACTCCATACTTAAGTACATTTAAGCACTAATATATAGTGTCCAATGAACACCTGTAAAGTATTACAAACCAGGTTTATAAAAATGCTAGGGGGTTTAGTCATTAAACAGTAAACTGTAGTGCATTTAACCCCTTAAGGACCGAGGACGGTTCAGGACCGTCATCGGCATTTTAGCGTTGCCAACCTGTGACGGTCCTGAACCGTCCTAACGGTCATATGTACTTACCGATTGCCGTTGTTCCCCCAGTGGCGATCGGCGGTGCTCCCGGTGTGGGGAGACTGCCTGCAGCCCAGACAGACAGTCTCCCCGCGGCAGATTAGGACCCCTGGGGCCATGTGATCACTCAACAGAGCATTCACATGGTTACAATAGGTGTCCATGTGTCTGCCTGCAGGGGGACTGCCTGTGCTGACAGGCAGTCTCCCTGCTAGTGTAAAATCTTTAAAAATTTAAGGTTAATATTAATATCATATATATAATGTCATGCTAAGTGTATTTTTATATTAATATGTACATGTACATATATTAATATAAAAATACACTTATAATTAAATTACAAACGTATATATAATATATATAATAATTATATATATTGTATATATTATTATAAAATACAAATAATAAGTAATTTAAATTAAATAAAAAAATTGAAAAAATAATAATAAAAAGTTTTTAAAAAATTATATATCTATTTGAAATTTTATTCTATTTGATATTAATATATATATATATATATTTATATCAAAATACACTTAGAATGAAATTGTATATATATCTATGTATATATAAATAAATAAAAATAATACAAAATATACACATGTCCACATACAAAATTACATAAATAATTATATAAATATACACGTAGACTTCAAATATAGAAATATGCATATATATTTAAATTCTACGTGCGTATTTACGTAATATTTTCACATCATTTTTAATATTTTTAATATATGTTTACATAATTAAGGCCGAAAGTCCAGAGAATTTAATTTGCTATCACTGTATTTTACCCTGTAACGTTCTAGGACACCCTAAAACCTGTACATGGGGGGTACTGTTTTACTCGGGAGACTTCGCTGAACACAAATATTAGTGATTCAAAACAGTAAAATATATCACAGCGATGATATTGTCAGTGAAAATGACTTTTTTTGCATTTTTCACACACAAACAGCACTTTTACTGATGATATAATTGTTGTGATACGTTTTCCTGTTTTGAAAAACTAATATTTGTGTTCAGCAAAGTCTCCTGAGTATAACAGCACCCCCCATGTACAGGTTTTATAGTGTTTTTGAAAGTTACAGAGTCAGATATATGGGTCAAATATTTGTACATGGAAAGGGCCAGGTTGGTTACGTTGCCTTTGAGAGCGTATGGTAGCCCAGAAATGAGAATTACTCCCATGATGGCATACCATCTGCAAAAGAAGACAACCCAAGGTATAGCAAATGGGGTATGTCCAGTCTTTTTTTTTTCATATTTAAGGTTTTTATTGACATTTTTTCAGAGGGGTGGGGTACAGAAAGAAGAAAGGAGGGGTAGGGACTGGGTTGTCAGGATTAACAATGATACATCTCGTCATAAAGTACAGCGTGAAATCACTCTTTAGTACATGCTGCGCTATGAAAAACATAGAATGCTGAATACATAATACAGAGTACAGAATGCTTGGGGTGCAATGTGCACGTACCATTGCTTGTCACCTTAGTTCGAATCCGAGTCTGTAGATGTTGGGTTTTTTAGAAGGCTGCACTGGTGGGGTGAGGAGGAAGGGTTCGTGGGTTGCCCCTCCCAATACTCTACCCACGGGGCCCAAGTTGCTAGGAGGCGCACTTTAAGTGCCGCAGTTTGGGTGGATAAACACTCGTGGGTGTAGTATTGGTGGATTTTGGCCACTAGGAGAGTCTTAGAGGGGCAGCGTGGTAGCTTCCAGTGATTTGCGATTAGATTTCTCACTGCCAATGCTATGAGTGCCATGATAACTTTAACCTTTTTTGTTAGGAGGTTGGGGTATGTCAGAAATATACCTGTGTGTATGTCTAGGGGTGGTGTTGTGATGCCTATGGTTCGCAATATAGTTTGCGCCTCTTGCCATAGCGGGCGGATGCGTGGACATGACCACCAAATGTGTGTCATCGTTCCACTTTCCGTCCCACATCTCCAGCAGTATGGGGGAACCGTTTTATACATTTGATGCAGCCGTTGGGGAGTTAGGTACCACCTATACACCAGTTTTTTATGCGCTTCGAAGTGGGAGTAACATTGCATTAGTCCTTTGAGTGTTTAAGAGACGCTAGTATTTCCCTGCTGGAGATCGTTGTGCACTCTTTTAGCCATTGAGTCACAAATATGGGGGGTGGAGGTGGTGAGGTTCGTAGAAGGACTTTGTAGCAAGAGGCAAGGGATTTGGGTTTGGTTGGGGCTCTCCAGCACCTGTCATATAGGGTCTCCAGATCCCGTAGATCTGGATTGTGTACTGTAGCTGTATGGGAGACATGAGTGGGTAGAATGCTCTTGAGCTGCATGTATAGAAACACTGAGGAGTTAGGTAGGTGAAATTCACTTTGTAAGTCTGGAAAGGGTTTGATGCGGTTCAGCTGGAGGACCTGATCGAGTGTGGTTATTCCCAGTTTAACCCATGAGTTCAGTAAGAGCCAGGGTGATAACGCTTTCAGGGCTGTCAGCGGGGAACGTGGGTGGTATTTGTGAGGTGCAGTTTGTTTCTGGCGTAACATGTCCCAGTGGTGTAGGGTTAGCGTGGTGGTTGGGAGGAGTGTTATGTTTTTGGGGCGTAGTGGCTTAGGTGTCCAGAACATATTTACTAGGGATGTGCTATTGAGTCGATCCACTTCCATGTCTACCCATTGGTAGACCCCTTTTGAGGTGTGTATTTTTATTGCCGCTTCCAAGACGGCCGCTTTGTAATATGTGTATATATCTGGTAGGCCTACTCCCCCATCCGTCTGGTGGTTCTGGAGGAGGCGTTGGGAAATTCTGGGTCTATGGGCGTCCCATACGTAGGAGGACAGCACTTTTTGGAGTGATTTAAAAAACATTGGTGGAGCCTGTAGGTGTAGGAGGCGGAAAACGTACAGCAGTTTGGGAAGGAGGACCATTTTTACTGTGTTGATTCTGCCTAGCCACGATAGTTTGACTGGTTTCCACCTTAGGCACTCAGATTTGCATAGGTTGAGGAGTGGTTTATAGTTGTATTGGTATAGTTGTTCAGTTGTGGACGCGATTTTGACCCCGAGGTAGGTGATGTGGTCAGACCTCCAGTCAAAGTCGTGTATAGTTTTGAGGCCCTGCACTGAGTCTTTAGTAAGGCCTATGGGTAGAGCTTGGGTTTTATTTTGGTTTAGTTTATAGTATGTCAGGTCGCCATAGCGTTTTAGGAGCAGCATCAAAGCGGGTAGGGACGAGGACACGTCACTCAATGTTAAGAGAATGTCGTCCGCAAACATGGACAATTTGTACTCGGATTTGCCCACCACCATGCCCTTAATTTCGGGTTGGCGTCTGATTATCTGCGCTAGCGGCTCTAGGGAAAGGACAAATAATAATGGGGACAGAGGACACCCCTGGCGTGTGCCGTTGGTTATTTTGAATGGGGTGGAGAGAAAGCCAGCGTTGGAAACCTGAGCCGTTGGGGCGTTGTACAATGCCATAATGCCCAAGATCATGGGTGTTGTGAAGCCAAACGCCCTTAAGACCTGTTGCATGTAGTCCCAATTGAGCCTGTCAAAGGCCTTCTCCGCATCTAGCGCTAAGAGAAGGCCCTTTCCCCCAGCGCTATGTGTGTGGGATAGGATGTTTAAGATTTTCCTTGTGTTATCCGAGCCCTGTCTCGTTTTGACAAAGCCTGATTGATCATTGTGTATTAATGTAGGGAGGATAGTAGACAACCGGTTGGCTAGAAGTTTAGCATATAGTTTAACGTCTACGTTCAGTAGAGATATGGGTCTAAAATTTTGGCACTGTGTTTGAGGTTTGCCTGGTTTTGGGAGGGTGGAGATATGGGCTTTTAACATTTCAGAGGGTAGGGCCCCTTGTGAGTAGCATTGGTTGAAGAGTGCAGATATGTGTGGTGATAGGATGGGGGCAAAGGTCTGGTAGTAGAAGTTGGTGTAGCCATCTGGGCCTGGTGCTTTGTGTTTAGGAAGCTGCTTGATTGTAGCATCTACCTCTTGAGTGGTAAACGGTGCGGTGAGGGAAGATATGTCTTCCTGGGATAGTTTGGGTAAGTCAGATTGTGCTAGAAAGTTAAGAATGTCTTGCGTGGATGGTGGTGTGATCTTGGGGTCTTCTCTAAGGTTATAGAGTTTGCTATAGTACTCTGCAAATGCGTCAACTATGTTTTGAGGGTTTGTGAGTTTCTGTTTTGTAGCCGTGACGATATATGCTATTCTGGAGTGGGCCGTGCGTGCTTTAAGTCTTGCGGCTAATAGGGCACCCGCCCTGTTCCCTTGTGAGAAGAAATTATGTTTATAACGTTGGAGTATGTGAGTGGTTTTGGCTTGCTCCAGGGAACCCAGTTTGGTATGTAGAACGGACAGCTCTTGACA